TATGGCGCCCCCAGGCGGCCGGGAGGCGCCAGCGCCAGGCCGGGGAAAGGGCCGCCCTGCGCCGCCGCCGCCGCCTCGTCCTGCCCACCAGTCTCTTCCATGGCCACCGCCAGCTCGTCGCTCCTCATCCTCTCTGAAGCGCGTGCATACCGAGGGGAAAAGAGGTAAGAGCAACACGATTTCATATTCATAGGCAGATACACAGTCACACAACTGATGTGATTACAGTTAGCCTGTGAAGAAACCATGCCTGCCTTTTATTAGATAAAAACCCTATGGTTAGTTTGAGGTAGATACCTGGGATTCTTTTTCAGTATTATTAATTGTTGATTCCTCAGGAAAAAAATGTTAAAAATGTCCAGCCCTCTTTTATTAACTAAGAATTCTCTTAGAAATCAAATGGGTCCCCAGCTCACAAGTACTTATACTAAAAATGGGAAGCCAAGCTTCTTAAATGAAAATACAGCTATTAAGCGCTGTATGTATGTATTAATTTTAAAATTTGGTTTTCAGTTATAGTAGACATACAATATTATACTAGTTTCACGTGTTCACATAGTGATTAGACATTCATATAACTTTTGAAGTGCGCACCCTGATAAGTTTAGTACCCACCCGACACCCTACATACCTATTATATTATTGACTATATTCCCCATGCTGTATCTTATATCCTTGTGACTTTTTATAACTGGCAATTTGCACATCCAATATCTTCCCCCTTTTCACCCATCCCTCCAATCCCTCTCCCATCTAGCAACCATCAAAATGTTCTCTGTATCTATGAGTTTGTTTCTGTTTTGTTTGTTCATTTATTTTGTTCTTTAGATTCCACATGGTGTTTGTCTTTCTCTGACATTTCACTTAGCATAATAACCCCTAGGTCCATCCATGTTGTTATAAATGGCAAAATTCCATTCTTTTTCCTGGCTGAATAATATTCTGCATATATGTACCATCTCTTCATTACCCATTCATCCATGGACAGATACTTGGGTTGCTTCCGTATGTTGGCTAATGTAAATAATGCTGCAGTGAACATAGGGATGTATATGTCTTTTGGAATTAGTATTTTGGGCTTTTTTGATTAAATACTCTAAGTAGACACGCTGGGTTATATGGTAGTTCCATTTTTAATTTTTTGAGGAACCTCCATGTGCTTTCCATAGTGGATGCACCAATATACAATCCCACCAACAATGCACAAGGGTTCCTTTTGCTCCATATCTTCACCAACACTTGTACGTTTATGATGATACCCATTCCGACAGGTGTTAGGTGATATCTCATTGTAATTGAAAAATAGAATTTTAAATTCTTTTTGAAAAATCACAAAACAAAGATACTTTTACCTTGAAAAGAGTACCCTACTGAAACCTTTTTAAAAGGCTGTTCACTACAGGCACTTTCATCCCTAAAGTTTAATAAAATAACTTCCACTCCTAAAGCTTTATTTTCTGCTTGTTTCTGAAGTTTACTCTGCAACATTGAAAGAATACAAAAGGGAATCTTGATCTTATTCTGAAGAGAAAAGACAATAGCTTTTTTGTAGGAAAGCAAAGGAAACTAATTAAAACTAATATATACAGTGGACTTCCAGTCAAGATGGCAGAGTAGTAGGTAAATGCTGTGCTCACCCCCTCTCATGACTGCAGCAGAATTACAACTAAATTATAGAACAACCATCACTGAGAACCATCTGAAGACTAGCTGAACAGAAGCCCTATCACTAAAGATATAAAGAAGAACCTACAATGAGACTGGTAGGAAGGGCAGAGACATGGAACAGGGAGGTCCCACACAAACGATGTGGCAATTAAGAATCTGGAAAAATATCTCAGCTGTGGAGGTCTCCTCTGAGGACCAAGGGGTCCCAGCCACACAGTGGGTTCCTCAGCCAGAGACACCAGTCCCAGGAAGAGGAGACCCTACAGTTTACATTCAGTATTATTTTGTATTAATTTCAGGTGTATCATTTTGTGATTTTTAAAACAATGTTTATGAGAGAATTCACAGTACTAAAAGCCATTAAAATGTTTTTAAAATTTGCACAATTATTGGGCCAATAATTTTGGAAATAGCAATATACAAAGCAGCTTTCTAAACTTTTACCTTTAAATTAGATGGTCGGCCATGTCCTGAGGGCACTGAGGTCACTGTCATAGCCTCAGGGTTTCTGGCCAATCAAGTTCTCAGGTGGAAACACTGCAGCATTAGCCTGGAGTTCTGAAGAACCATCAGCAGTGCTAGGAGTAAATTCAGAGGACAGGCAGCTTAATAAAATAAATTCAATTAAACAGCCTTAAAGATAGATACTAGAAATACTGGTTAGCACCATGTCCTTCTGGTGTTCATTTTTTTTCACACCTCTAAGAGGTGCTTGAGTCATAAAGCAAAATTAATTTTCCATATTGCTCATCCCAACTAAATGGCCCCCTCTATATATTTGCAAGATACATAGCTTGGTCAATACTTTTAATTAAGGAAGAAAAATAAAGAAAAACGATAGCTTCTTGCTTTGTCCAACAAAATACCTGTGTTAAACGGATCCAAACATAACACAGTGACTATGACTGCAGTCTTTTCTATTAGGAAAACAGTTTACCACTGCAATAACCTATCACACAAGTGGGGATAGAAAAGGTGAAGTTTATTCTTTAGAAAATAACCTCACAAAGGTGGAAACAAGGGTGAGAAGCACTGTTTTTGATATCTTAATTTGTGAGACCTAGTGGAACGCCTCACCTGAGCCAGGGACAAGCAGCACCACAAATGTCAGCCAGCTCAGTGCTGCCCCTCCAAGGGTGACAGAGGGACATCCTCTACCTTGGTAGGCCTTTGCTCTTGGAGGTCTTAACCAGTGGAAGGCAGCACGGTACAGAGCTGCCTCACCTTCTCTGTCCTCCACACACAGCTACATAACAGCCTGCCTAGCTCTGCTAAACAACCCCTGAGCTCATTTCATCCGCCCTTGTAAGTGCAGAGGGAGAGAAGCCTCCCGGTCAGTCATCTTGGCTTGGAAGTGAAGCCTTAGAATCTTCATCCACACCCCTAATACATATAGAATTCATACAAACTTACAAGCAAGAGATAACCCAATAAAAAGTGGGCAAGAAATATGAGTAGGCAAAGGACCTAAGGGCAAAATCAAATGGCCAGGACACTTGTGAAAAGATGCATAACACTGCTTACATTCAGGGAAGTGCTATGAAAGTATCATAAGGTCTCATTTTAGATCCATCACAGGAACAAGAGTGAAAAGGTCTGTCAGCTAAAGCTGGAAGGAAGGCAGAGAAGAGGTTTGGAACGCTCATGCATTACTAGCAGAGATGCGAAGGCTCTTAGGAAAGCAATCTGGCAATTTCTACTAACTAATAATAGATGTAATCAGGAATTCTACTTGTGGGACTCTATTCTGTAGAACTAAAAGTACTAATATGTAAAATCATATGTATTAGGATGTTTTTTAGTACAGTAGTATTTAGTACTGCAAAAAGCTGGAAACAAGGGAATACCTATCAGTAGGAGAATGGGCAGGTAACATATGGTCACTTCAGGGAATATTATGCACCCATTAAAAAGGATGGATTGGAGCTCTGCCAGATGACCTAGAGGGGTTTCTGGAGGAACTGTTCAGTTTCTTTGGAGAAAAGCAAGTTTCAGAAAAGTGTGTATGATCTCATTAAATAATATATATATATATCTGTATAGGATATGTGTACATAAAGAAAAATGAGGAAGGAGACATTATGGATTGAGGGAGTGATAGCTGATGTGAAAGGAGGGAGAAGGAAAAGAAGAGGTAAACACAAAAGGAAAAGAAAAAAGTACTAAGCATGCATGTGATAGTGCATATACATTTAGGTACCGTATACAGCAGGGCCTATACATAAATTTAAAAATCTATAAAACAGTCCTCATGCATGTGAGGTTTGGCAGGGCTGGGCAGCCTTCATTCTAGAGGCTGGAGGGAACAGTCCTGTGGGGCATAGTGCCATCTGGCCCTGGAGGGAACCCAGTATGGGGGGTCATTCAGTTTGGAGTGGTTTGCTGTGCCCTGTCCAAGCAGAATGAGATTCTATATCCACAGGAGATGGAAGATGCCATGGGAGAGCAGCCCACCTCACTCACCAATCTCCCTGGCACAGGGCAGTTACTTACGGGACACTGCATTAAATGCAGTGAACCTGACTCTACGTTTCTTAGACCCAGCTCATCCGAGTTTCCATATCCCCATCTGTCAAAGGACATGGTAAGATTATCTGCCTCTAAACTGGTGGCTGAAATCAGATAACACAAACTACTCATGGTTGGACTCCCTAGTGCTATATAAATTCAAGGCAAGAACAAAAAGAAGCTACCAGTATTTACTGCTCAAACATGCCCACATTAAGTTCTTAGGGGCTAAAAGGCAGTGCTGTTTTTCTCTTTGACATTCTATTATTCAATATAGTAAGTAGGTAGTTTAAGTTGGAAGAATTCTCATGAGGATTTTTGAATACAAACAGCAAATAGAAAAGAATTACAGCTCCACCTCTCCAGCCAAATTTATTTTCGCTTCCTAAATTGACCTTCATGCAAAATAGGTTACTCAGGAAGTCTGGTTAGCTGCAGCCCTGTGATATGCATGTCTTCCTTACCAAATACCCAACAAAAAGGCACATCCAAGAACCAGATGGTTAGTTGACAAGAAGAAAATAAGAGGTCCTGTAATTTTTCCTTAAACAGTCTTTAAACTACTAGAAAGGTGCCAGTGAATGTGATTATTTTGCTTACATTCATTCACTCCACCCGCTTTCATTCAAATGCTTATTGTGCACCTGCTCAGAGTAGGGTGCTTGCTTGCTGCCCAGGATGCCAAGAGGATAACCACATAGTTCCTGCCTTCTGGAAGCTCACCACCTGATGGTGAGAGATGCTTCCAACAATAATTCTGATACCCGTGGTAAGGGTTCACACGGGAGGGTGAATTCCATCACATGGTCTCCACAATGGGGAAGAGGTGGGCCTTGGGGGCCCTAACACAAATGTTCATGCAGACACTGCCGCTTCAGCATCCCTTCCCCTCCCCACCCCCCTCAGGGTATAAAATTCACAAAAACACATGACCACTAGTGCTGACTCATAAAGTTCCAATTCTTTAGACGTATAACTAGGCTTCCAGGCTCATATTTTAAAATAAAATTTCCTGAAACGGAAACAAAAGTTCCGCTACCATGAAATTAGCAGTGGAAAATTTTCAGTCCAATTTCAGGGGGGAAAAACTGGGGGGGAAAAGATTTTAGTTATGCCATGGAAGGGGAGAGCATAGTATTGGTACTACAACTCTGAACTCTCCTGTGAGTGCGTTTCATTAAGTATCCATTATCTGGAAGGCATAAGAAGTCTAAGCCTATGGAAGATAATAAATTTGCATTAATTACCTCTGCATTTGAAGTTCTGTTTGAGGTTCTCTGAAGAAGTTCTATTCTTCTAATAGCCTATTAGATTAAAACCCCCATTCCTCAGTATGATCTCCTTGAATACTAACACATATAGAGGATAAGGGAAGACGTCAAAGCCAGGATGAGTCATTTGTGTAAATATAATACTTACACAGTGTGTGACTGTAACATTGAGAATCATCCTATAAACCACCCATAAAAGTTAATTTCATTATTTTATACTTAATGCTTGTACACATACAAAATGTTAGGCAGGCTAAAGGAGAAAGAACCAGGCAATGTTCTCAAAAGGCAGGAACAAATGGATTACAGCTCTGTTTGTTCTTCCCTAATCCAGGCTAATCACTTCAGTTGGATTAATTCACCACAGCTATAAACAGGTATGTATAGGCTGAATCTGGATGTTAGCTAAGAAATTCACAATGTGAAATCTACACAGACTTGTGTAAAAACATTAAAAACATTTTCATTTACTTCATCCATCAGCAACTTAAATCAAAGCAGAATGTAATAATTAAACAAATACTTAGCCTTAACAAGGGAAATCTCAAGGAAACCACAGTTCATTCATTTGTTACCTATCTCTGTTGAAATATTAGTTTGCTGCCATGTATTAATCTATTTATAAAGCGATCCAGGCAATTAGAAAAATTAGTCTGGAATCACCAGGCTGAAGACTTAAATGAAGTTAAAAAACAAGTGAAAATGTCTCCAAACTATAAAGTGTTGATATCTGGGTCAGGGAGTAAAGGGTCAAGTGTGAAAAGAGTTAGAAAAAGGTTAAACATGGACTGTAAAATATTTATGAACACACCCTGGCCGGGTGGCTCAGTTGTTTGGAGTGTCGTCCCATACACCAAAAGGCTGTAGGTTCGATTCCTGGTCAGGGCACATACCTAGGTTGTGGGTCCAATGTCTCTCTCTTTTCCTTCCTCTTTTTCTAAAAATCATTAAAAAATAATCCTTGGGTGAGAATTAAAAAAAAAAGTTATTGGCACTGGCTGTTGTGGCTCAGTGGTTAGTGTCGGCCCGCACACCAAAGGGGCATGGGTTCCATTCCTGGTCAAGGGCATGTACCTGGGGTGCAGTACCTGGGTTTGTAGTACCTGGGTTGTAGTACCTGGGTTGCAGGTTTGACCCCCAACACCGGCTGGGGCACCTGCAGGAGGAAACCAATTGATGTGTTCGTCCCTCCCTCCCACTCTCTCTAAAAATCAATGGAAGAGATATGCTCAGGTGGGGATGAACAACAACAAGAAGTTACTGGACCCACAGCTATTTATCTGGTGAGCCAGGTGTTCTCTAAATGCAGTAAGCCAAACTCTTAGATACCTCTACCAGTAGCTAAAAGGCTCAGAAGTATCCTATTAATGCTTTTTTTTTAAATCCTCACTCAAGGGTATTTTTTCCATTGCTTTTCAGAGAGAGTGGAAGGGGGAGGAGAGAGAGAGATATCCATTGGTTGCCTCCACTCACGACCCAACTGGGCTGGGGATGGAGCCCGCAACCGGGGTACATGCCCTTGGCCGGAAATGAACCCAGGACCCTTCAGTCCGCAGGCCGATGCTCTAGCCATTGGGCAACCCTGGCCAGGGCTATTAATTCATTTTTAAAAATGAAAATTATAAAGTGTTCTGCCCTAAAGTGGACTTTTATTTCAGTCCTACATTATTTAATATATATGTTCCTAAAAAGAAGGGTGTTGATCCATTTTATCCTGTAAAATGCATAATTTAATATGAATTAGAAGGATTTTTAAACTACACTTTGAAGGCCTTTGTAACACCAAGATTTTTAAATTGAGAATTACCTGGTTTTGGCTCTTGGCCTTTCTGCACATTGTTGAATACTTTTTATTGTGGGTTGCCTCAGGCTCTTTTTGGCCCAAAAAGATGTACAAATAACAGTTAATGAAAAATGCAGGTAATAATTACCCTAATTATGTTAACTTATTAAGCTATTTCTGCAAGTCTTTGTAGTCTGGGCTGATTAGGAATTCAGAAGGTAGCAGGTACTTATTTGTTTCTTTCATGGAAAAATGAGTTGCTTGGTAAGCTTCGGGCATTTGGTTAGTGTAAGCAGTTACAGGAAATCGGTCCTGATTCCTGCGAAAGGATCAGAAAACTCCTTCGTCCGGGCACGGGAGGGGGTGGGGTGCGCGCCTGGCCGCCCGGGGAAAGGGCCCGCGCCCGCTGGCGGCTCGGAGGCTGCCCGCAGCCAGGCGGGTTAACCAGGGCGAGCGGACGCTCTTCGGGGCTCCCGAGGAACTTTCCTGAGGGCGCCCTGCAGAGGAGAAAAATGAGGTCCTGAAAGAAACCAAGTGCTGCCTTTATGCAAAGTCCGGGCCAGAGGCATCTCCTACGG